CACAGGACGCAGGCAGTAGAATTTTGTATGGACTTAATTTTAGGAGTTGAGAGATAAGCCAGGACTGCATTGGAATATGACAGTCAAATTTAGAGGTAACAAAGGCACAGATATAGGCTTCGGCAGAGGGTGAGCTCTCTCCAAAATCCAAAAGTCCAAAATTCCAAAATCAGGCAATGATTCAGAGGTAACACAATGTGGAGCTGGAAGAACACAGCAGGTCAGGCAGCATCAGAGGAGTAGGAAAGTTGACGTTTCAGGTCAGGACCCTTCTTCAAATGTTCCTCCTTACATGTTCCTCCAGCTCCACACTGTGTTATCTCTGACTCCAGCATCTGCAGTTCTTACTATCTCTGAATGATTCAGAGGTGCAAGTAGAGCAGTCTTGCTGATGGTTTGCATAGGTAGTTTGAAAGCTTATCTCAATGTCAAAAATTACATGGAAGTTGAAAATGATATGGTTCAGCTTCAGGCAGTAGCCTGGGTGAAATAGTGGTATTTTTGCTGGACCGTTAATCCAGAGGCCCAGGTAATGTTCTGGGGACCCGAGTTCAAATCCCACCATGGAAAATGGTGGAATTTGAATTCAACAAATATCTAGAATTAAGAGTCTAATGATGACCATGAATCCATTGTTGACTGTTGGAAAAACCCATCTGGTTCATTCCTTTAAGGAAGGAAACTGCCATTGTTACCTGGTCTAGCCTACATGTGAATCCAGATCCACAGCAGTTTGGTTGACTCTTAACTAGGGATGGGCAAAAAATGTAGGCCCAGTCCGTGACAACCTCATCCCATGAATGAATAAAAAGACAACAAAAAAATACTGGGGAGTGGAGTTTGTGTTGGGGACCAAACACGATGGCTTCTCGGAAATCCAAATCTCTGGAACACAATCCACAAAGCCTCATGATTTACAGAGTCAAATTCTTTGACCAGCTTGAATAATGCAAAGAAGAGTTCTTGGTGTTGTTCTCAGAATTTGTTTTTGTATTGTTCCGGCAACAAAGCCACTGTCAAAGGTTCCTCTGAAAGATCTAAAACCTAAAACATTTAGTGTCCCTGGAAGTAGGTGATTCAGGGGAATGTTGGTGTATTTATTCAGGGTTAAGTAAAGGGAAATGAGACACAAACCAGCCTTGACTTAATGAATGATGTGGAATAGAATTGAGGGGCTGAATAGCCTTCTGCTGTTCCCATGTGCAGTCATGAAACAGGTGACACTTGTCTCTTCCCTTGTCAAACAACATCCAAACTTTTGATATGAAACTTTGTTGTGAAGATTGAATGTGTTTGAATTGCAATGTGATCAGATTGCTGGGCTAGCCATCCGGACGTCCAAACTAATACTGTGTGGACATAGATTTAAATCCCAGCAAGGCAGATGGTGTATTTTAAATTCAATTGATAATTCTGGAATCAGAAGCCAATCCCAGTAACACTGACTATTCCATTGGGTTCACTGATGCCCTTCAGGGAAGGAAATCTGCCATCCTTACTTGCCTGTTCTGCATGTCGCTCCAGCTCCACGGCAATGTGGGTGTCTATTAAATACCCTTTGAGGAGAACCTTGCACAGTTAAAGGGTAATTAGGTATGGTCAACAAATGCCAGTCTGGCCAGTGGTATCCACATTGCATTAAGGAGTAAAGAAAAATAATCAGTGTTATGGTGATCAACGATGAAAACAAACTGAGCAGAGGAAGCTATTACTTTGTCATTCTGGAGCTATTAAACAAAATTTAAAAAAAAAGGTCAAGACCATTTTGTGTCTAACAATAGCTGCCAAGCATTCAGAATGGCAAATGTGTGACAGTGAAGGCTGACACTCCTGCTATGAACCATCTGCATTAGGCAATGCCTAGTGCCCGTTTTTGTGTTACAGCCAAGAGCAATTTCACTCCTGAATTGTACAAATGTTCAGAAATTTGTCAAAACCAAACACCATGTTTCTCGGGTGTTGAATGTGTATTGATATCACACATTGATTTGAAAGTCAATGCTCTTACCTGGTCAGTACCAAGCCCATCACATTCTCTTATCTCTGCAACTGCAAACTCAATACAATCAGTCACCTCATCATAAATAATTTGAATATTGTTGAAAAGTGAGACATTTTGCTGAAGCTTTTCATCTTTTAGTCTTCAGGACAAATGCAAGAATGCCAAATTTCAAACCATCAGAAAAATTTATACTACAGGATGGTGCTGATTGGCTGATCCGGTAGGATCCTGAGCCCAGGGCTTGTCCGCTCTGTTCGCTTTTCGTTTTGTTTCTGTTTTCCTGTCCTATTTTATTTTACTTACCTCTCGGTGAAAAGCTCGGTTGCGGCGATGGCATTGGTGGCAGAGACTGGGTCCAACAACACAGCGAGTTTGAGTTCCTGGCAGCGTCTACGTACAGCACAGAGGTGGCGGTGAGTTTGGGCTCGTGCGGTACCCAGTGACATCAGTGGTGTCTGCGTTGGCGAGGTCCAATGAAGACTGATAGCGGCAATGGCGTCGGTGAAGGCGAGATGGTGCCGAAGAATGGTGACTTTCATTCCAGCGGCGGTTGCAAAAGGGACTTGTGCCTGACCACCAGGCCTATGGCCCATGACGGAGCACTTAACAAGTTCAATGTTTTGGTGTATTTTTCTGTGTTTTAAGATGGCGCCAAAGAGTGGTGACACCATACAACACTTTTTACTACATTTTGTAATAAGATACATGTGACAATAAATTTTGTAAGGGGGAATCTGATGCCATGTTTGAAGGGAGTACATAAAGGTGAGTAAGGCTAATGGGCGTCATGGTGGCTCTGCGGTTAGCACTGCTACCTCAGTGTCAGTGATGTGGGTTTGATTCCAGCCTCGGGTGACTGTCTTTGTGGAGTTTGTGTGTTCTCCCTATGTCTGCGTGGGGTTTCCTCCAGGTGCTCTGGTTTCCTCCCACAGTCCAAAGACGTGCAGGTTAGGTGAATTGGCCATGCTAAATTGCCCATAGTGTTCAGCAATGTGCAGACTAGGTGGGTTAGTCATGGAAAATGCAGGGTTACGGGGACAGGATGGGATGTTCTTGAAAAGGTTGGAGCAGATGTGATGGGCTGAATGGCCTCTATTTGTACTGTAGGGATTCTTTAATGGATGTTTTTGCAAAGACAGACTTTCCATGGCCAACATGTTATTGCGTGAGACTTGAATCCAGAGCTCCTGACCTAAAGGCAGGGCCATTACTACTGAGTTGCAAGACCTTTCCTCTGTCCTAAATAATTCTATGATGCAAACCTTAGAAAACTTTTCTTGGGCTACAAACTGCTTATTGCTCCTACACTGATGGGGATCCTTGATAAGGCTTGGAGACTGAAAGAGTTAGGCAAATGTTGTGCAGTTCTTTAAGTTGGTGATTGCCTTTGAGGATTCCCTCCCTCATTTTCCCACTTCCTCTAACTTTTTATGATTGATTTATTGTCGCTTGTATTTTACAGTGAAAAGCTTCAACTGCTGCCACAATCCAGTGCCATTTTGAATATCTTAAGAATAAAATGAGAGAACTGAAAGAAAGTCCTTCCTTGTTACGCTGCCTGTGCCATGAGTCCTGTACCATCACCTCACCTCCATTGCCTCACTGCAGCCTGTGCTGGACCCACCAATGTTGGAGTCGTCAGTCCTCAGGTGCCACTGGGCTCACCTTGCCACCGCCACCGCCACCGCCTGGAGCCATACTGCACCCTCACACATTCTGCAACCAGGAGCCCCTGGCTCTGGGCCAACCACCACCAGGAGTCCCGGGCTCTGGGCCGACCACCACCAGGAGTCCCGGGCTCTGGGCCGACCACCACCAGGAGTCCCGGGCTCTGGGCCGA